AAAAGCCCCCTTCCGTTGCAGTTTTGAATTCAGTTCATTCACGTGGTCCATGATATCACCGGCAAATGTGAAATCAGAGAGACAATTTGCATCATTCAGCTGTGGGAAATCTGAATCTTTTTGTTTTATGCCCAAAAATCAATCAATCTCTGTTCTCAGTTCCCACACTCTTTACAAGACCTTTTCTAAACGAAGCCATCTTACATTCTGTGATACAGAACATCCGTGTGCTCGGATTCCAGTTCCTCAAGCAGAGTTACAAATTGCCTGCGGTTTAATCCTCTTGCTCGAATGTAGTTGACCACTTTCATAACTGTGTCCACGACATTGCTTAGTTTTAGATCACCTTTACAGAGGAGCTCTTGGTGGATAATGCAGTGTAGAAAAACAATATTCTGTTCTGGATTTGTTTCTTTGACTTGATCTTCAATTCTTTTCAGTAAACCCAACATTTTTGCCTGTCAGATTTGGGCTTCCATCAGTGGTCACATTCACCAATTTTTTCCACTCCACTCCTAATTTTAAGATACTCTTATTTACTGCCTTCAAAAAGTCTTCCCCAGTTGTCGTATCTTTCATTGACTGCATTGATCCCAATTCTTCTGTGAGCTCAAAATGTTTGGTGATACCTCGAATAAAAATTATCAACTGGGCTGTGTCTTTGACATCACAACTCTCATCGAGTGCCAGTGAAAAACATGCAAAATTGCTTACTTTATTTTGTAACTGTAGATACAGGTTCTCAGAGATATCCTCAACATGTCTCACAAAAGTTCACCTTGACAAGCTAATGGTCTCAAACTGTTTTTTCTTGTCTGGACATAAAATCGAAGCAGAGTCAACCATACATTCCTTTATAAATTCTTCTTCAGAGAATGGTTTGCTGTTCTTGTGTGCAATCGTGTAACTCACTCTTGTAATCTCATCGTGGGATGCAAATTGTTTTGTGAAAATGCTTTGCTCTTTTTGCATTCGAACAATCATCTCATCAGTTTTCTTTCCTTTTTCTTCAGCAGAAACGTTCTTATATTTGCAAGCATGTTTGCTCTCAAAATGGCGATTCAAGTTGTAGTCTTTGAGCACTGCCACACTTTCTTTGCAAATTAGGCACACAGCTTTTCCACCCACACTGGTAAAAAAAATATTTAGAAGTCCAATCTTTGTTGAATATTCGGCCTTCAGTGTCCACTTTCCGCTTCTTTGATAAACTCATTTTGAATTAACGTCCTCTTCAGTGAAAAGTTGCCGTGCTCGCGTGTTTGAAAATTTGCTGATCCATACATTCCTGACGTCAGCCTGATTCAGCACTTAAGGGAGTGTGCGCACAACTAAGCAGTGTGTTTGGCTGATGTTCCTGGTCTGATTCAAATGCGAAATTTGTGCGACTTTCTGGGACTGAACAAACTGTAATTTTTTCTATTGCTAAACACAATGATGGGCCGGATAGAATCATTTGGTGGGCCGAATGTGGCCCGCGGGCTGTCTTTTGCCCACCCCTGCTCTAAAGTGATGTGGCTCTGTATTTTTGTATGCAAACAGTGATGCGAAAAAAATGAACTGAAAATAAAATGTTTGTATGTGATGCAGAATGTTGCTATGAAAACATATGGTTATGCACAGTAAAAGTGCAAAAACTATGATGTAATTTTAACAATGATTTATTTAAAAGATTGAGGTAATAATACAAGGTGCTACTGTAAGGTGATATTGAGTTTGGAACAGTTGCAAACAGTGGTGGAATAAGACCCCAAGAGGCTCTCGTACAAGAGTAGAATACAAGTACAGAAACTGCTCTAATCAAGGTGACAAACGACATTTTGTCCATCTGTGAACCAGAGCTTCCCTCTGCCTCGTCCTCCTCCTCGACTTCTCTGCTGCCCTCGATAACATGGACCACTCTCCCCTCCTCCATCGCCTCTCCTCTCACTTCAACCTTCAAGGTTCTGTCCTTGAATGGATCATGTCTTATCCCTCACATCGTTTCCGATGGTTTCTCTTCCAGACCCTGCACAGTCTCGTGCGGTGTTCCTCAGGGCTCTGTCTTCGGTCCCCTCCTCTTCAACCTCTACAACCTTTGAAAGAGTTGTCGCCTCCCAGCTGCGCTCTTTCCTCTCTACCCATTCATTATTCGAACCCCTTCAGTCGGGTTTCCGTGCTGCCCATAGCACAGAAACTGCCCTGGTCAAGGTCACCAATGACATCCTGACCATCTGCGACCAGGGCTCCCTCTGCCTCCTCATCCTCCTTGACCTATCGGCAGCATTTGATACGGTCAACCATGCTATCCTCCTCCACCGCTTGTCCTCCCACCTCAACCTTCAAGGCCCTGTCCTTGAGTGGTTTAGGTCGTACCTCTCCCACCGTCTTCACTTTGTTTCCATGAACGGCTTTTTCTCCAGCTCCCGCACTGTCTTATGCGGTGTCCCTCAGGGTTCTGTCCTCGGTCCCCTCCTCTTCACCCTCTATATGCTCCCCCTTGGTGACATCATCCGCAGACATGGGGTTAACTTCCACATGTATGCGGATGACACCCAACTCTACCTTTCCTCCTCTACCCTCAACTCCACGACCACCGATGTCCTGACAGCTGCCTGTCTGACATTGAGTCCTGGACGAGAGACAACTTTCTTCAGCTCAACGTGCATAAAACTGAGGCCCTCCTGATTGTCTCGCGTCAGCGCCTCTGCACCTCTGACGCTGACAGCATCAGCATCCAAGGCTGCACTCTCCACCTCTCAAAGCCAGTCAGGAACCTTGGTGTTCTGTTCGACCCTGAGCTGCCCTTTCTCCCTCATATCCGCGCCACAACTGGCACTGCCTTCCATCACCTCCGGAACATCGCCAGACCCTTCTCTTTGACCGTGCCTGCAGCTCCCCTCTCGACTCTCTACCCCCTCCTCGCTCCCTCCTTTCCCTCCCCTCACCATTTCCCCCCTGCTCGGGTCCTGATCCTTGACTGTTCAGCACCTTGGGACATCCTATCAACGTGAAAAGTACTTTACAAATGTAATTTTGTTGTTGTTGTTATTGTTGTAGAATAGAACCGCCCCTTCCCAATTCTGAAATCTACAATGTTACTTCCTGGCCCACTTGCATCCCAGGAGATAGGTAAGTATTTCCGAAATGGTTCAAATTTTTTTTTTTGGGGGGAAGTTATTTTTCCACCCCCCACAACATGGGACCCCATAACCTTGTGGGCTCTGGGTGACTGAACCACTGGCACCATTGTAGTTATGCCACTGCGTCTAAACATATGGAAGTAGAGTACAAAAGCAAGGAAGTTATGCTACACATTTATAAATCACTGGTTAGGCCTGAGCTGGAATATTGTGTCCAATTCTGGGCACCACACTTTAGGAAGGATGTCAAGGACTTGGATGAGGGACTTCAGTTATGTAGAGAGACTAGAGAAGCTGGGATTCTTCTCCTTATTAAGGGGAGATTTAATAGAGATGTTCAAAATTATGATGGGTATTGATAGACTGAATAGGGAGAAACTGTTTCCTCCAATGGCTGGGTAGTTAACCAGGGCACATGGATTTAAGATAATTGGCAAAAGAACCAGAGGGTAAACGAGCAGAATTTCTTTTACACAGAGTTGTTACGACCTGGAATGCACTGCCTGAAGCGGTGGTGAAAGCAGATCCAATAATAACTTTCAAAAGGGAATTGGACATTTACTTGGAAACAAAAGAATTGCAAGGTTATGGGGAAAGAGGTGGGGCAGTAGGACTAATTGGATAGCTCGTTCAAAGAGCCGGCACAGGCATGATGGGCTGAATGTCCTCGTTCTGTGCTGTAGGACTCCATGAAACAAAGATGTAAGCAAAATATCAGAGTTGAAATCCTAGCATAAAACTGCTTTATAAAACAAAATTAATGCTTTTAGAGTGTCATTTTAACAATGTGAATACAAGGGGGAAAATTATCCTTCTTAGCTCTATCTATTTTAAACATGCAAGAAGAAGAAGAAGAAAAACAAATTGCACTTACATAGCACCTTTCATGTCTGGCAATGTCACAGGTGCTGGATAGTGAAGGGTTTGCACCCGAGCTGGGGGTTGGAATCAAGAGGGGTGGAGCGTCAAAGAGGAAGGTTTTGAGGAGAGTCTTGAAGGAGGCAAGGGAGGGGGGGAGGCAAAGGACTCTGGGGTGGAGTTCCAAGGCACGAACGCTGATGGTGGAGTGGGAAAGGTGGAGCAGGCCAATGCCCAACAAAGGAGGGAGTGGGCAGGTTCACAGGTCACAGCGATAGGGAGGGGCAAGACCATGGAGAGATTGAAAAGTGAGGACAAGGATCTTAAACTCGATCCTCTGGGGGATGGGGAGCCAGAATGTCTTCTGATTCTACCAATAATCAACATGGTTTATAACATCTTAATTGTTAGTGTTGTTATATTTAGAATGGATTTCTCAGTATCAACACATAATAGATAAATAGGTTGAATTTGTGTTCGGCACAAGATGGATCCCAGTAACGTACATTTTTTAAAATCTATAGTCATGTACAGCAATCTAGACAAGTCGCTACCTTAATACTGTACTTAATATCTTCCTGGAAACACATGGGTCAAATGTATACAGTTAAAGAGCCCTTACCAGCAAGAAAATTAACCCAGCTCATCAGGCAGACAGGACCTCAGTTTAATGCTTCATCCAAAGAATGGCACCGTTTTTCATGGATATGTGTAATGGACTAAAATAACTGAAATGTGGAGGAGTTAAAAGCTTCATGCTGTCCTATCCATGGCAGAAAAAGCCATGTTCTGAGTTGACTGTGACTTTGACACAGCCATTAAGCCTGGTTGAATCGCAGTGATTTGCTACAAAAAACCTAATATAAATCTGTTGTGAGTATCATGACCAGATAAAACTTTGTAAGGGAGCCTGGTTGCTAGAACCAGTAGGGAATGGTGGGCTGGACAGGACATCAATATGCAATGCTACATTATAAACACAGGCAATGCAAATCAAGTCAGCATCCACTCAAATATGGTCCTTTATAGGTTCTCAGGCCAAGAACCATTTTTATTTTTTTAATGTTATTAAAAAGTCAGATACAAACGTTGGCACACGAGATAAGCAACCTAAGGTAAATCCAACAATAAAGCCTTCCTTACAGGCAGATCTAGATTTCTGACCCTAAAGAATCTGAGAATTATTTTAGTGAAAAATTAAAGTGAATAAACACAGACACCAGTGCAACATCCAGATTAATAAGGACTTGTGGTAATGTGCCTCCCAATGTGAAAGGCAACTGCAATTTGTTGTTGTTGTTGTTGACTGCTGTTGACACAGTGTTTTCTTGAGTATTCTGAGGTGGATAAGTTCTTTAGTGCCCACATTTTCAGTCCGTTGACACGTTTCCACCTCACTTTCTCTTTCTTTGCTTTGCTTTCTCCACTGTGCCTACAAATGTAAATAAATGCACTGTTATTCTCAACCAACGTCTGGGAAGTAAACATACAGTAAACTCCTGATAACTCGTCCCTCCATGGGAAAAGCACTCAGTGACCAGGTATCCGGAGTGGTGAGTTAGGTATATGTATAAATGTATAAATAAATGCAGCCGAGATATTGACAGCATGATGACTTAAGTGGTAATGGTAAGTTAAGACAGCGTCGAGTTATCAGAAGTTTACTGTAATAATAACGCTTTTGATATAGCGCCTTAGCGTCGTAGGTGAGACTGTAGATAGCTAGTGATAAATAGTGATTATTTAATGATGAGCTCTGGTGTTCACAGGGAATTCTCAATACACCTGAGTCAGGTGGGTCCACAGCAATCCAGAACACTGCTGATGATCGACTCGCCTGACTTATTGGCAAGAATCTAGTTTGCAAAACCTACTCGCTTGATTGTCTTCAAAATTGACCAAATACTTGGGACGATACAACCTCTCACCAGGAGGACAATGTAATATATATGTACGCTACATGCAATGTTTTAGATTAACAATGCTGAATGAATTTAATGTGAGTGTCTTCCTGTGTACACATTTCCTTTTTATTTTTGGAAATTCTATCAACATCTAACCCTACCCATATTTCAGTTATAACTTTGTGATGTCAATTATTCTGAGTTCAGCAAAGCTTCTAGTTACATTGGATTATTGCATCCAATAAACGTTTGCACCCAATTAGTTATCCCCTTGTGGTCATGGTGGTAGAGTCTTACAAAATGAGGGGAAAAAGTTGGAAGATTTGTAAACCTAGTATATTCAGGTGAAATTTTATCCCATTTTAATAGAATATTATGTACAAGGTTAATAGATTATAATGAATTGACCCCAGATTAATAGATGACAGTATTGTGAACTTACCCCAGATTAACAAGGTGAGCTTCTCTCCCAAAAGGTACAGCAAGTTCACCAACACAACACTCGCCGAGATAAACGACATCAGATGAAGGGGACTGAATAGGCCTAAAAAGGGATAAACCCATTTTCCAGTCGCGGAGTAAATCCACAGAATCCTGTATTAAAAGGTATAGATTGAATTCTATCTCATTTCAATTACTCTCAGTTGGCCATGTTGGTGTATAATTGGTATGTGCTGTATATAATTACAACAACAACTTGCATTTATATAGCCCCCTCACACAGGGTAGCGTCCCAGAGCGTTTGACACTAGGACCCTTTAGTTTTGAAAATACACATAACAGAGATGACCTTATAGAGATATATGAGAGATTAAATGGGAAAGAGAATGTCAATCAAGAACAATATTTTGTTATGCCAAGGCAGTAGGACAAGAGGACACAGGTTCATTTCTTACGTTTTATGTATTTCTTACTACCAGTTCGATAGCTGCGAGATGGACTTACCATAATAGATAGAAAAGGGAGATGAAGCCTAGAATGAGAAAGCCAGTCCTTCTTTTTGGATAACGGTGAGGTGTGAGAATTAACTCCAGCAGAATCACTGGCAGGACAATGCTGTGCTGCAAGAATAATGAGAATAGCTATGTGAGAACCAGAACTGATATGCCCTCCTATTCTGTATTGTAGAACTTATTAAAATCAGACTGAATTGATGGTTTCCCTCATACTTTCAGCCATCCTATAACACTGAGAGACATCAGTTTCAGTACAATAAAGTTTACATTTATATTGCACCTTTCATGTCGGGAGGACTTCTCAAAGCGCTTTGCACTTCTCCTAATATTAACCAATGCCCTGAGGGTAAGCCTAATGTTCAGAATGCGCTGCTTGTCAGCTGGATTCCAATTCATGCTGCTATTTGCGCAGTAGGTTTTAAAACAGAATTTAAAAAAGATTGGCCATTATTAAATCCTACTGTTGTGTAGACATACGTTTACCGAACTGTGAAAGCCTGGACTGCAGTTCAGAGTAACACACATCCAGTTACCAGCAGCAACTGATATATACAAATTCTCTTGAGTCCTGCTGCAAATACCACATTGTAGACTTCAATCAGCACAATTTTTGAAAGTTTGGCTTTGATTCTGCCAGTGCTGTCCTGTGCCAAATCAGGGCCTGAAATTTCTCATAGTCTTAGCCTTTGCAGGATTTGCACTCTGGTGAACATGACTACCTGATGCCTACTCCAGTGAAGCTGATCTTGAAGTGTGTGTGTTGGGTGGGGCTGTAAATAATTCTATGAATACGTATGCTCTGAAGCACTTACAGGCCACCAGCACCCATGCTGCAACAGAAGTCAAGAAAAGTTAAATACAACATAAATAATAATAATACTCTTCGCATTTGATGTAGTGCTTTTCACGTCTTCTGGATGTCTCAAAGCGTTTCACAGAATATACTGTATATTTTGTGGGCAAAACACAGCAGCCAATTGCGCACAGCAGTGTCCCACAAACAGTTGTGGATTGAGTGACCAAATTAATATTGTTTTCTTTTCTTGAGGCATTATTATCAGGTTATTATGTAAACATGCTCTTTACACAGGGCACAGTTTGGTTACACTGACTAATTCCTTGTACAGTTAACAGAGTAAACTACTTCACCACATTATTTGCTCTGATGCCTTCCATTTCCCATGATGCCATTCCTTGAACCCTAATTTGCGCTGTTCATAAATGGGGTGGAGTGCTATTTTCTTATTTCTAAAATCATTTTGTCGGCCAACTGAAAAGGTCCTGTCCCCACCAACCCCTATCCCCCACCCTGCTTATGCTCTCACTGCCTGTATAACGGAGGCATTCTCCTACCAAAAGGCAATCTGTTTCAATTAAAATTGCCTTTTTAGTCTATAACCTGGGGGTTGGGTAAATCCTCAGTTAATTGATGATGTCTTTACAAGAAGCGAATCACTCAACACATCCAATTTCCAATGGTGCAAGCTTTCTGTAGTAAATAAAGGAATGAGGTAATAAAATGGCTGATTAAAATGAAACACTTACACCTTCTTGCTTTGTAAACCCGGGTTGACAGCTAATGAAGCCTAACCTGAAACAGTGCAATTATTAGTAATGCAATGCAGCTCAGATCATGACTGGGCAGACAGCCAGTTCATTTGCCGTGTCTGTACAATATGAAAGTAAGCAGCTGCAAGAAAACACACAAAAACAGCTCCACTAATTTTATAACATTCTTATTTGCTTCAACTAATAACAGTCTTATTTTTTCACAGTATGCTAATACCACTTCTCCAGTTATTTGACAGAAAATCATATTAAGATGTAGGATAAGCATCCCATTATGCTCATTATATCAAAATAAATAGTACAAGAAGACCATTAAGATATGAATTGCAAATTATTGTGTCTCAGTGATTATACAAATGCAATTTTCTAAAACGTAATCTTTCCATTTTCATTACTTCTCTGCATAATGTACAAACTAGATTATGCTATACAACAGACTAACAGGATCATCCTATTAAACATATAAACATTTTCTGATTTTAACAACAACAAATTACATTTTGTAAAGCACCTTTCATATCGGGAGAATGTCCCAAGGCGCTGAACAGTTGGAGATCAGGGACCGAGCTTGGGTGGGGCAGGGTTGGGATAAGAGAGGGCAGAGAGGTAGGAGGGCATCTGAAGCTATGGTTGAAAAGGAGGGTCTTGAGTCATGCCTTGGAGGAGGCAAGAGAGGGAGCAAGGCAAAGGGATTGTGGGATGGAGTTCCAAAGGGTGGGGGCAGAGAGGCTGAAGCCCCGACCACTGATAGGAAGGGCAGGTTGTGCGGGAGACATGGAGGAGGCCGGAGTCTGCTGAACAGAGGGAGCAGACAGCTTGATAGGGGCCAGCAGGTCAGAGAGGTAGGAGGTGGCAAAGCCGTGGAGGGCCTTGAAAGTGAGGACGAGGATTTTGAATTCTATCCTCTGGGGGATGGGGAGCCAGTGGAGCCGGACGAGGGTCGAGGTGATGGGGTCACGGAGCCTGGTGCAGGAGAGGAAACGAGCTGCAGAGCTCTGGATGATCTGCAGCTTGTGGAGGGAAGAGTTTGGCAGGCCGACAAGCAGGGAGTTTCCATAGTCGAGCCTTGAGGTGACAAATGCACATATGAGGGTTTCAACGGCATGAGGAGTGAGGCAGTGGCGGAATTGGGCAATGTTACAGAAGTGGGGGAAGGCAGAGCAGGTCATGGCATGGAAATGGGGGATAAAGGACAGTTCAGGGTCCAACAAGACGCCCAGGTTCCTGACTGGCTTGGTGTAGTGGAGTGCAGAGGAGGAACAGGCCGTGTGTAGGAAAGGCAGATTGACTTGGGATTCTCCACATTTCATTCTGATCTTCTCACAATGGGTACGTGTAAAGTTAGTTTGAGGTGATAACTGCTCACACTTTAATACTTGACCTGCAGACTTCAACCAACTCAGTCAGTTCGTATCTTAATGCATTTAAGATTTATTAGTTCTAAATACTGGCACTTACCATAGCATGGTTCAGCCATAAGGGAATTAATTTATCCAAGCCTTCAGGGTACACCAATGCTCTATCATAACTGAATAGCAGCCAAAAGGATGTCACTACAAACTGCAAAAATGAATTCACATTTAAACGCGTTAAAAATCAAAGATGAAAGGTACATCGTTGACATAATTTCAAATGTGGCAGCTCCCATTCATGCAAAATTTGTTTAAAAATTATCATTTAATGCTTAATACAAAACGATTTACATTCATGTTGCGCCTTTCACAAAGGGAGGATGCCTCAAAGTGCTTGACGTTACTGGTTGGGCACCCAAGCTGCATTGCTAAGGTCGGGTCACCATGAGGTAATTACATGTGCCTCACGTGCAACACACCAGCCAGACAGTGCCAGTGTTGCCTACATGTACTGAAGCCGGTCCAATGGTGTCACACGACAGTGAAATAAAATTTGTGGCTATTCGTAACACTTTCCTTGGGTTAGCACACAATAGTATAAATATCAAAACATTTCTACTATTTCCTAATTGGTGACGGTCTGCAAAGAGTTGCTTTTTAGTCCCCGTTTTTCCTGAAAATAAATGGCTTCCAAATTAAGACTGTATTAAAAAAAGTCTACAACTTTGTACAATTTTAGGAAGGTTTTCCAGGGTAAGTCTGGGTGGAATTTTGGGCCTTTGAATTGATGCTACTGCATTGTATTTGAATGGTAATCACTTCATCTGAATCCAAATGATATGGTTGAAATTGCAGTGAAATGCATATGGGATGAAAACTGTGCCGTCTTATAATAATATAATAAAAATAATCCTTGCATTTGATATAGCGCTTTTCACGTCTTCTAGACATCTCAAAGTGCTTCACAGAATATGCTGTAAAGTGAATTGACTGTATATTTGTGGGCGAAACGCGGCAGCCAATTGCGCACAGCAGTGTCCACAAACAGTCACGGATTGAAAATGACCAATTTATTATTGTTTTGTTTTGGAGGGATTATTATTAGGCGTGTGAAGTAAGGAAACTTGCCCAAGGTTTCGCCCTGCCTGGAATTGAACCCAGTTATATAACTTATAACATCTCATTGAATCTGTTATGAACCACCCTTTATAGAAATGAGATAACAGTGAACATTTTTCACCCTTTTCAATTAAAGAGTTTTTTTAAAGAGTTATGCCATCTTTCCTCACTACAACTTCACCTCTACTCCCTCTGCTCAGCAGACACTGGCCTGCTCCATGTCCCCCATCCTTCCCGCTCCACCATCGGCAGTCAGGCCCCACTCTCTGGAACTCCATCCCACAGTCCCTTCACCTTGCCCACCTCCCTTGCCTCCATCGAGGCCCATCTCAAGACCCTTCTATTTGACCGCTCCTTTGGTCACCCTCTTACCCCCCACCCTCTCGGCCCCTCCTGACCCCAAACCCCAGCTCAGGTGCAAATACTTGATTGTCCAGACATAAAAGGCGCTATACACATGTATAGCATAATGTATAATGTTGTGGTTTTTACAGGTTCAATGAATTCTACCTCAATAAAAGATCTGTTTACTTACGGTGCCAACAGGGAAAGCCAAGGCTGAGAAGATAATGTCACGCAGGGCTCGAATCCACATCACATGGCCCAGAAAATCTGCCAGGATACATATCCCATTGAAAATTGTCTGCAGAAACTAGAAAGAACTTTGAGGTAATATGATTCCCAGCACTGTATAAAACAGCAATAACATAACATTAACATGCAGATTAATATGTAACATCATGCAATTTTAGTCAATATGACAAGAGAACCTTATAATGAGAAATGGCGTGGCACAAATTAATGCCAAAACCTATGTATATTATATATTTTTACATTTTTGGTGATTTTTCTTTGGGACTGACCATATGGATCACAAGAGTCTTTTCTTCCTTCCTCTACTTTGATGCTTCAACACCTTGCTCTTTGACAGCACCTTCTGTCATCTTCCACCACCCCAATCTGACCTCCTTCCCTGCCCCCACCCCTCCCCGAATGCAACCACCAGTTTGGGTGCAAACCCTTGACTTGCTTTAGGATGTTCTCCTAACTTGAAAAGTGCTATAAAAATAACAACAACTATTTTCATTTATATAGCACCCTCCACACGGGGCAGCATCCCAGAGCGCTTCACAGTGGCGAGGTCTGACAACAATCCGTAAGTGACAAAGGTGTGGACGAGGGTTTCAACTGCGTCGGTTGTGAGGTACAGACAGAGGCGAGTAATGTGACGGAAGTGGAAAAAAGTGGCCCTGGTCAGGGAATGAATGTGGGGTAGAAAGGAAAGCTGGAGTTCGAGCCCCTGTCGCCAAAGTTGTGCACGGGTTTGGAGAGTCTGAGGGAGAGCCCAGGGAGATTGTGGAGTTCAGACCCGTAGGAGAGAAGTCGTTGATGGGAGCCAAAAAATATGACTTCCGTCTTACCGACATTCAGCTGCAGGAAATTTGCGCTCATCCGGGTCTTGATGTCTGTCAAACAAGCTGACAAGACATTAGTGGACTGGGAGTTGCAGCTGGAGGAGAAGAAGTAGAGGGAGGGAGCGAGCAAATGGAGGGAGCTTCAAATTTAAATGTCAGGTGTAAACAACTGGACCATTGTCTTTGGGACAATGATCACAGAATATCTTAAAGCCTCAGCAGATTAATACCTGGGTATGATGGCTGGGTATTTTTTACACCCACACGCACACTGTGGCTTGGCAGATTTTTATTTAACAAAATATTGTCACACAAAAGTACAATTCTTTTATTTCTTTTTGACTATCAACAGTTAGAATCATAGAATCATAGAATATTACAGCACAGAAGGAGGCCATTCGCTATCCGATCAGTCCCACTCCCCGCTCTTTCCCCAAATCCTTGCAAATTTTTCCTTTTCAAATACCTATCCAATTCCCTTTTGAAAGTTGTTATTGAATCTGTTTCCAAGCAATACATTCCAGACCATAACAACTCTCTGTAAAAAAAAATTCTCCTTATCTCCTCGCTTTCATTTTTGTTATTACTACTTTTCCCCAGAGAAAGGGCACATCATTTTTTGTCTCTTTTTAGGTTTCTTGTTTTGTACAAATGACAGAAATAAAAATAAATTGAAGAATTTCTTTATAGATCACCACTAGCCATCTCCCGGGGAGTGAATTTCTTTCATTTCAGAGCTGGGTTTAGTATAAATCCAGAAAAAACAGTCTCTGCTTTCATTTCAAGGTACAGTCCTGTCAGTTTAATAATTTCAGAATTGTTTCTTAGATCCTTGCCACACTTTATAAATCAGGAGAGGAACCTTGTTTCTCTGTGCCCAGACGCTCCAGTAAACACCATTCTATCATTGGTGAGCCTGTCCTGCTTTCAGACACTACACCCCGAAACTCTGGAACACTCTTCCTCTATCCCTCCATCTTACCTCCTCCTTCCCTATCTTCAGGTCGCGCCTGAAGATCCCCTCTTCGACCTGCCTACGGGCACTTCCCCTTCCTCTCAGCTCGGTTTCGTGCTCCGCCTCTATCAATCGCTGTGGGCACTACCCTGTACCCTGTATGAGGGCCATTACATAAATGGAAGTTGTTGTTGCTGTAGCCTCCAGCCATTCTGCCCCTGCTCTCCGGAACTCTATCCTGAGATCTCTCTGTATGCCCCTTCCCTATTATTATTATTAATATTATTAAAACCCACCTTAGACCTTTCCTATTGACTTTCCTTTTGGCCACCGCCCCCCTCCCTCCTCAACTCTTCCCCTCCTCCGCCCGCCTCAGGCTCCCACCAAATTACAACCAAATAAGTCTCCCATGGTCATGTTGTTAGTGGCCAACAGAAAATTGTTCTTTTTAAGAGGGGTTAAGTGTAAACTCTACTTTGTTCTTTTTATTACCGCCAATTGAGAGGATATATTGAGAATTAACGACAAATCATTAAACATTCTTAGATAGGTAGAACAATTCAGCAATGAAATCAACAATTAAATGCATCCAGCAATTCACTTTGCACTTAAAGTAGCTGCAATTGAGCTGGGTTCAAACAGTGTCTGTACTCACAGCAGTTTATTGGTAGTCAGAAAAAAAGAACAAAAATAGTTGTATTTTATGAGGTGAATGCTTAACCGACAGATTCTCAATAAGAATATATGGCATGGCATCACCAATAGTTTAAGGTCTCATCAAAAGGGCGGCAGCTCTAACAAAGCAGCACATCCCCATCATTGCACAGGAGTATCAGCCTAATAATGATCACAATAATAATCCTTGCATTTGATATAGCACTTTTCACGTCTTCTAGACATCTCAAAGCGCTTCATAGAATAGACTGTAAAATGAATTGACCATATATTTGTTGGCAAAACGCGGCAGCCAATTGTGCACAGTAGTGTCCCACAAACAGTCATGGATTGAAAATGACCAATTTATTATTGTTTTGGAGGGATTATTGGCCTAGTCTATGAGTTGAAAGTCCCCATGCAGAGTTGAACCCACAACCTTCTGACTCAGTCGCCAAGAGTAGTGTCAACTTAGTCAATCTGATACACAAAATGAAACAAGATTCCTTCTCCTGGCCCCTCTACAGCACCTTCAGGAGGAGGCCAGGCCTGGAGCAGAGAACGAGGGGGGAGGGCGGGAGGAATTAGAAAAAATAATGGACACACTAATTTATCTAATAAAAAGGACAATTAGAATGAAAAATGTTTGCTGTGATTGAGAGACATGAGCAATGAGATGGACAGTGAATGGGAGGTAGTGGGTGTGGAATCAATACCTAACCAAGAATGGCAATCCATAGTTTGAGACTATAATAATAATCCTTGCATTTGATAGAGAGCTTTTCACGTCTTCTAGATGTCTCAAAGCGCTTAAGAGACTATCAAGTGCAAAGACTATCAAGAGAAGAGCAACAACAACAACAACAACTTGGATTTATGTAGCGCCCTCCATGCAGGATGGCGTCTCAGAGCACTTCATAGTAACGGATCCCATGGCCGAGCCAGGGGGAGTGGGAGGAAGGTGACCAAAGGCGCGGTCGAAAAGAAAGATCTTCAGCCGAGACCTGAAAGTGAGAAGAGAGGGGACAAGGTGACGGGAGTGAGGAAGGGAGTTCCAGAGCCTCGGGGCATAGTGGCTGAAGGCACGGCCACCAATGGTGGAGCAGAGGACTTGGGGGACAAGGAGGAGGCCAGTCCCGAGCAGCTGAGGACTATGAGTTTCAGTTAACATTGAACCAAGTTCAGTTGTAAGACTATTGGGATTCGGTAGGTTATAATAATAATAATAATCCTTGCATTGATGTAGTGCCTTATCACATTGTTGAGATGTTTCAAAGCGCTTCAAAGAATATATTGTAAAGTGAATTGGCTGTGTATTTTGTGGGCGAAACACGGTAGCCAATTGCACACGGCAGTGTCCCACAAACAGTCATGGATCGAGTGACCAAATTATTGAGATGTCCTCACTACAGTTTTTTGTGTTTGCATGTTTTTCTCTATTTATTTGATTTGTTCTGTTGTGGAAATAAACTTATTTTGCTCAGATTGGAAAAACCTTCATTAAGTGGTAACACTTTCATCTTTCACAGGATATTGGGAGCTAAGTAGGCCTGCTTGAAGTGTGATTGGTATATATAAGGGACTTGTTGTGATCCTCAGTAGTTGCATGAGTAAAAATCCAACATTAAATTATCAGTGAATCCCATTGTGTGATGCCATTTTCTCAACCCCAACATAATGAAAAGAGCACAAAGAATATGTTGTGTGATACCATTAGTGACATAATACATGGGATATGTTCTACTTGGTGTAATTAGAACTCCCACCCATGATGGTTTCTGCTCCCACTGATGTCTGCACATTGTGTGCTAGAAATGGCAATGTCTCTACCAAGTGGGATTGACGCTCAGGAAAATAGATGGCATATTGCCACCTGATTAATGTTTTAGTCTGCTGGGTATTCACACCTTCTGTCATCTCACAGCCAGGCAATAGTGCATTCTGTCCTCTTTTCTGTAGAATTTATCTTGCATTTAAGCCAATTTAGTGAGAGCAATGACCAGGGAGTCAATGTGTGGCTTAGTAGGCTGAAACTAATCTTACAGAATTCCCAACATCTGCTAAATCAACAGGCTAAAGTGAAAGCCTCCAAAGAACCATTTTCATTTTTATGTCATGCTAAAATTTCTCAAATTGCTCATTACTGTACTATCAAATGTAGAGGCTGTTTCTTGTCAGCAAACATTTCCTGGATCTCTTCCATAACTGAAGGGAACATATTTTGCACATTGATTATGTGACTGAGCAAGGTCAAATGCATATTAGTTCCCCTTTCCTGAATTGTCATTTCTGTGTCTTCTGTCTATCTTGATATCTTGCTGTATTCTGGAATACCTGCTCTTGAAAGCTGAGGGAAGCTGTTCCAGTAGAAATATCTAATCTCTCTTAACTGAGCAACAAGGCTAATCCCAGTGTTAGAGAAATGAGGTACAAGAAACAAGCAGAATCTAGGGTTCATCAACCTTAAAAAGAAACTTCTCAGGGACCTTGTAGATGTGTATAAGATGTTGGATGGGATAGAGTAAATTCAGAACATTACTTTCAGATATCCCAAGTCAGCTGCACAAGAGGGGATATTCTTCCAAGTTGGTGGGGGACAGTTTTAGGACACATAAGTTTTTTTNACAT